TTTAAAGGTATGTATATATATATATATATCATATTATATTACAGTGACTGGAAATGAACATAATAGAATAATTCAAACAAAAATATCAAAGGATGCAGGTATTTCATATAAAGCTGAATTTTATTTAAATAATAAACTGATCAAACTTTATATCTATTTTTAAATATTACCTTACTTGAATTAACGTTGTGAAGTTTGGGAACTACGTATATAATCATAGTTGAAAAATTATATTTGTTGAAAAAAAAATGTTAAAGATGTATATATAATGCAGATTATAATGAACATGCACCAAAATTATTGTGTAAATTTAGAACTTTAACTATTGTGGATATTATTTAACTAAAATTTACGTTAGTTTTGTATAATGCCTCTAACAACGCTTTATCTGTGGAAACGCTGTTGTACTTAGTTTATTGTGAGCACAATTATTAAGGAAACAACTTGATAATCTTTAACAAAAAATATGCTCAAAAAACGCCAAACCAATGAGTCTATCTATATGAGGAATCAAACTTTGGAATTCTAGTGCCAAACTTTTAAAATAATATAATAATATTAATATGCTCAAATAGAAATTTAAAAGTATTTTATTTGTAAATATGAATATTAAACTTGGTGTGTTTTTTATCCCAACCTCACACCGGAGGGGATATTTTTTTCACTCCTGTGTGTTTTGTGTGAACAATATAATTCTAAAAAGTTTTTATCGAATTTTTATCCAATTTGACACAAAGGTAAAGCGTTTCTGAAGGATCAATTGATTAAGCTGCGGTGACTGTAGGTCAAAGGTCAACCACATAATTCGAAATTTGTTCATGTAATTTTGATTAAATTTCTTACACACCGAAGGTCAAACACTTAACTCAAAAGGGTTTCTTCTAATTTTAATCAAATTTAGTATAAAAGTAGAGTGTCCTCCAAGGACTGCCTGATTAACCTTGGGTGAATGTAACTCAAAGGTTAAGGTCAGAATGAATGTTAACCAATTTCTTTGCAATTGTAACAAACTGGGATTTTGAAAAATGTCAAAACTCGACAAAAGATCGAGATAGAAAGAGAATCGTGGCACCTAGACCTATATTTTTGAGGGCGAGGAATTGTTTGATGTTTATTTTAGGTTGTTCATTATGTGACTGTATTTCTAGTTAACATTTAACGTTCCTTAAGTCAATTTAATGTTAGATATAATATAGGCTATTTCATGTGAATAAAATGTTGTTTAAACATCTTTGCAGTTTAAATAACAAATTTACTGTTTGTTTAATTTCAACATGTAGAAATTTATTTTAGTAATACAGTTGTTGATTTTAGCAATAATCTCATGTGAAGAGGTGGAAATACAAGCCATAAGACTTCCTATACTAACCTTTTGGAAGCTAAGTTTGGTATTTAGGTTATCAAAGTTAAAAATAATTGATAATATTGTGCTTTGTTTGTATAACTATATTGCTATTTGGTTGTGAAATATTATAATATGCGATTGTACTAGCTGAGAAACAGATATCATTTGATTTCACGTATTCTTTAAGTATTTGGCAAGTTCTGCTTCAAAACAATTTCTATAAGATGTCAGACTTTATAAACACACATTTTAACATTATATCGTTGAAGATTAATCTATGTCGTGGAATAAAGAAAACATCTTCCTTCTGAAGAATCCATATCAACTTCATCTCTGAATTACTGTCACGCTACCTCCCTAGTGATCTACTTTATCTTTCCAATACTTCTTGGATAATCTATTTTATGAACAAAGTTATAAATAATAAATTGAAAAAAGGGTGGAAGAGTGGTGTAGGCAAAAAAAATCTTTATAAAGTCTTAATCTTCATTCCAATCTTTTCACGTCATGTGTTTGATGTTTGTTTTTTCAAAGCTCATAAAATTTGTAGAAAGGACAATTTTAGTAATTTTTTTCTGATTCATAAGAATTTTAAGATAAGTAAGCCTAATCTTTGATATATGAATGCACCTCACGAGTACAAAACAGGCTTAACTTACAATAAACAAATATATTCCCAAGTAGTTTGATAAATTATGGAAAAAAAACAACAAGAATTAATAAATTGTTAAAAAGCACTGCAAGAGCATATTGTTGTATTCACTGCTATAAATAACTTGGTGAAGTAGAAGTACTTTCACTGGTGAATGGATTACAACAACAGTTTGGTGACATTACTATGGCGGTTAGTAGAAAACATTGTTCTGCAGCAGCGTACAAATCTACAACAGAGTTTTTGTTGCTTTATTGCCAAGTCTGGATAATAAGAATAGTGTTTTTTTGTTGTTGTTTTTTTGCATACTCCACCAACTTAAATTTCAAATTTATTTGCTTTTGAACTTGAAAATTTAAGGTGAATTGAAAATGTTTCTAAATCATAAGGATTCGGTAAGGCTTCTATTACTCATTATTTTTTAAATAATTTATCATTATCGAATCCACTAGGAAAATTAAGTTTGTCTTCCCACAGCCCACAGTGACATTTTTCATGAGGCGTCCATGTTGTTTTCAATGGATCTCGCCAAATTTTCAGCCTGGTGAGTCTGGTGGCTCATCTATTAGTTTAATTACGTTTCGTTGAGCGCCACCTGCTAACTTTAACAACAATTCAATAATTACAGAACATCACTGAGTGAGCAAAATGTCAATAAAACAACGCTTTCTAAGTGTGAAATAATCATATATTAATGTCGTGCGAACCGTTCAGTATTTAATTGCTTTTTCCTTAAAATGATTTTAACCTATTTTGTTCCGAAGTCTAAACGTAAGATGAAATTCACCAATTATTATATTTATGAGGTTCAAATAGCATAATTATCTACATAAAATGTGTGGTATTAATGATTAGGTATATTTTCTGAATGTAACAATTTGACTACATTCAGATAGTTTAGCTTAGAATTTAATAAAAGTTAAAACTGCCTTGTTTTTTGTTATTTTTTCAGTAAATGTCCTACTTACAAAAGACAACGAAGTTGATTTATCTACATTGAATCTCATTGTTTCAGGTAATAAAACTGACAAATTACAAAATTATGCAAATTACCAAACACGAGTTTCACTTTGTATTTTCAGAGATGGCAAACTTCAAGATGGAGATGAAATACTCGCCATCAATGGCAAACCCCTGGATGGCAACATTTCACATCAACAGGCTGTAAGTGTATTGCAAAAAGCCCGTGGACTGATTGAACTTGTTGTTTCCAGGGGTGGAGAACCTGTTTTAAATCTACCGATAAGTGAAACACACCAAAGGTCTCCCCTTATTGAAATAAGAAATTCCGTCGATTTCAACATGGTGGTGAGTGAAAATAAATCTGAACAATTATTCTATAATATATGTTGCATTCTACTGTTATCTATCATTTACTAGGTTGGAGAGTAAATGTTCTCAAATCATTTTGTTACAGATGGTTATGAATTGACTGCTTATTGACGTGATTGTAGTTTTTCTTTATATTTGTGATATTGTCTGGTTCATTCTATTTAGTTTCAACTAAAAACTTAACATAAATTAAGTGGTCACGCTGAGGAAAAAACGGTTGTAGATACTCTTGTGCATAATTTTAGTCGTCTACGAATGATAAATGAAGCAGCAAGCTTGATATATTACCAGTTTTAGGAAATTTGCAGATCATTTTTTGTGAATTGTTTTGGAGATTTTGACCCAGTTGTATGCGGATAATTTCATATACTGTGCTGTCATCTCGTGGCAAGAAACGTGATTTTAGTTTTATCCACGAGTAGCTATAATTTTATTGACAGTTAGAGAGAGCGTCTGGCTCACCAGTTTATTTTTTCAGGTAATATGTTCATTGTGTTAAGTTTTAATGCGACTTTCTCGTACAGCTTCGAAGTTTCATTATTATTGCACTGATTGTACATTGGAGTTAACGAGAGAAAAAAGAAGCATTTAAAAAATTTATTATACCACATTCATTGTACTGTAATTTCAAAGATTAATTGTTATATTTCAAAGTCCAAAATAAAACTTATATACCAAAGTAAAAACGTTTTAAAACTAAATACAAATGATAATATGATACGAATTATATTCTATTGCACACTGGTATTGAAAATGTAAGTTATATTTTTGATAGCACAAGAATTGATGTTGGTCGTAGTCAGTCGAGGTATTTAGCGCCATCTGTTAGCGCATCATATTAATATTACTTCGCCTCTCAATGTATTTTTATGGTTGTCACCGAAGACACATACACTCATTATTTGTATTTTTATGGTCGTCACCAAAGATACATACACTCATTATTTATATTTTTATGGCCGTCACCAAAGATACATACACTCATTATTTGTATTTTTATGGTCGTCACCAAAGATACATACACTCATTATTTATATTTTTATGGCCGTCACCAAAGATACATACACTCATTATTTGTATTTTTATGGTTGTCACCGAAGACACATACACTCATTATTTGTATTTTTATGGTCGTCACCAAAGATACATACACTCATTATTTATATTTTTATGGTCGCGACTAAAGACACACACTTACGCATTGTCTATATTTTTATGGTCGTGATCAAAGACATACATATTTATCAAGCTTTCTGCGTCCTATTTCTACTTTAGTGGTGAAATATAAAGTAAGTAATCCGTTATACTAGCTTCTCAGTTATAACACTGTATTGAACCGTACTGGCAACCTAATTATTCATAAACTGAGCGTTGTTTATCTACACTTACTCTCTTAATCTGGAATCTAACAATCCTATCCTTCCAAGAATTTGTTGTTGCCTGGGAAAACCGCTATTAAAACATAAGAAAAGACCGTGTAGTACATTTAACATCTAAAACTGAAGAACACCACAAGAAGTTCGTGGAAATTTTTATGTCCGAGATTCGTTTTCTACGTTATTAGAGACGTAGCTTTTTTGTTTATAGTTAAACATAAAGCTACAAAAACTGTGCTGGGACAACCACGGGTATCGAAACCCGGTAGTTAGCGTTATATGCATTCAAGCTTACCGCTGAGCCCTCTGGAGGGGCAAGACTTAGTTAATATGGAGGTAAAAGAAAGCAACTTCAATGAACTTTGATACAAATAAATACAAGTAGAATAGTCAAAGAGTGCTTTGATTTCGTGAACCATTTTATTTGCTGTATATACTCCCGTTTAATTTTTATTTTTACTAAGGCAAGTTGTATGAAACGTTTCTTCAAGTTTGAGATAAACACGTACTGGTTCAACAAGAAAAAACAAACAGAAATATAGCTTCACATTTTTTATTTTTTTTGTCGGACAAACGTTGCAATTATGCCAGTAATGCGAGGGTTAAACAACCATGTACCAGTTCATATAACAGAACTATTATCGTATAACAAAAATTCGCCATTCCAGTCTACTACTTAGTTTAATTTATTTAACACATTTTAGCAATTTCGGTAGTTTTAGAACATTGTCAAACTGCGTCTCCCAAATGAACCACAATAATTTAAAAATCCAACGTTTAAGTCCCCCTAGATACATAACGGTCCCCCGGTAGGCCAGCAGGAAGCTTACGGACTTAAGACTTTAAAAACCCGGGGCTCGATTCCGCGCGATGGACAGAGCGTATTTTGCCCATTGAGTAGCTTTGCGCTAAAACAACAACAAATACATAATGTGTGAAACGAAATCACAGTCTACACCATAAGCCTTGAAACACGTACTGCGTTTAGTTGAAAAACATACAAGCTTAAAATAATAATAATAATAACAAAAGGGAATCCTCAATAGCCGCGGCACTTGAATTTCTTTTGGGTCGGATTAGAGTAAATTAATCTATAATGCTTTGGGCGGAGTCAAATACATCAGTCGAAAGGGTTTGACCTGCTGAGTCCAAAACTGTAATCATATCTCAAATCGGTCACGAGATGACGTAGCTATGAGCTAAATGTTTGCACTTGAAAAAAAAAAAATTCAGAGCCATTCTATAAGCCGCTATGACGCGGCTAAAAATATGCCCTCATATTTAGCTATCCACTGGTCTATCAATCGATTTGTATATGAATATTAGTCTATGCGATTTCGTGTTTAAGCAACTTTAATACACATCAAGTTAGCAGCATTCCTATAATGCAGTTAACAGACAAAAACAAACAAACAAGCTTTGTTGAAATATATTTTTTATTCAAATGATGTTTTAGAACAAAATTATTTTTGTACACTAGCTGATTTTATCAATCTTGTTCCTATTAGTTTGTTTGTTTGTTTTGAATTTCGCGCAAAGCTACACGAGGGCTATCTGCGCG